AAAAAAAATTTAGGAGGACAACCTGCACCATACTAATCTCATCATTATATATCTTTTTACCTAATTTCTCTCTTTCTATCTATTAGTAGATATTTTTGTTTTCTCATGATTACAATAACATATAAATATCATAAAATCACTAATAATTAAATAATATATGAAATAAATTTATACACATATCAACAAAATTATAAAATTTAAGTAATAGGGGATAGTGCCTATTTACCTTACCTTCTAATCTTTGGAAGGAATATTATTCAAAAACTAAGTTGTTTCAATAAACTCCTATTGAAAAAGATTAAAACACTCTATTTTTAAAATATAAATTAAAATGTTTTTTTGCCATTCCTTGTGATGTTTTATTAAAACAACATAGTTTTTGAATAATTTTCTTCTTAATCTTTAGAAGGTAAGTTGAATAAATACTAACCCCTAAGTAATATAAGGTAAATAGCATACATTATCTCCCTTTTTTTCCTCTTTATACTAGTAATTTATTTGTTATTATTTATTCTCATTATCTTCTTATCTCTATCATTCTTTTTTAGTCATTTTTTAAATCTTTATTTATTAAAATATACTTCATTTGTCCTAAAATAATTGTCATTTTTTAACTTTAAATTTTTCCCAAATTAATTTTCATTTTTTTCATTTTTTAAGATAAACAAATATTTTTTTTCTACTTTAACCTTATCATTATCCACTCACTTTAATTAATCATCCAATTAGAAAAAGTCTCTCTTTATCTTTTATTTCTTTTTAAAGGGTATTATAGAAAAGTAAAAATATTGTCCTCAAATCCTTAATTTGGAAAAAAAAGTAAAAAAAAAAATGACAGTTATTTTAGAACAAAAAGGGAGTATATCTTTCCTTTATACATTCCTCTTAATACTTTTCAGTTATCTATGCTTTACCTTTTATTAATTTTTCTTAAGACTTCATCTATTATTATTTTCTCATATTTTATTATTGTATTTATTTGTCTACTCTATATTCACCCTCATTTTATCATTACTAATTTATTTGTTATTAATTTTCTTTCAGTATCCTTATTCTCTCAATATTATTGTTTCTTAGTCACTTCTTACATCTCTATTTATTATTACATACCATTTTTACCCCAACTCTCTCTCTCTCTCTCTCTTTAACTTTGTCTTAATGAATATATTGAAAGTCTCTAAAGACTCTTGTTTTACCATTTTTATAATTTTTTGATATTTGGGATTTAGACATTTGATAAAGAGAATTTTAAAAACATTTTTAGGTTTCTCACATAGCTTTTTTTTATTTATTTTTAGGTTCCTTACAAATATTCTTACTTGCAGGTATTATTCTATATTCACATCAATTATAGAGAAAAGGTGCGAATAATGATGCTAACTTTGCATTTTTTTTCTATTCATAGAAGTTGACTTTACCAGTTTCTAAATAAAAATATCAATTTTTAACTTTTTCCATTTAAGGATGTTAACTTTTAACTTTTTCTATATAAGAATGTTAACTTTTTTAAAAAGTCCATTTGCCATGTCAACATTACCATCCAATTAATTCTAAAATAAAAAAAGTTAAAATTTAATAGTATTTAATAGACAAGGTTGAAAATTGATATTTTTAAATAGAAAAAATTAAAAATTGATATCTTTATTTAGAAAAGAGTGTAAAATTGAAATCCTTATTTGCAACTTATCTCCATCAATTGTACGTTGCAATTTGTAGTCATTCATAATTTTTGATGTTTTAGTAATCATGATTAAAAAATATGTTTATCCAAAATTATTTACATCTTAATAATTATTCCCTTAGTCCAAGAATAATGTAGCAAATAAAAATCAATTTGCGAAGTCCACTTTAGTGTAACATAATGTGAATATACGAAAAAATAGAATTAAAGTAGAAATTAGATTATATAGTTAGATAAGCTGATTTCAACTTTAATAATATATCAATGTAAAAGTCACAATATAATATCGTAATTGAAGTGAAATTTTAAAACAATTGGTGAGAAATTTGATATAACTAAAGTATTATTATAAAATAGTAATATATAATTGAATTTGAATTTGAACCATTATATATTTATATAATTAAAGTTTTCCAACTAATTTCGAATTAAAATATAGAAAAGGAAGTTATTGGGTTTATGTCTTTTATTTTTTTACTGAATTATTTTTTGAAATCAAACTAAGATCTTGATAATTAAAATTAAAATTGTATTTATAATTATTTATTAAAGATTACTTATTTGATATTTTAGAGGAATTTTAAAAGACTCATTAGGTATTTGTATTTATTTAAGATTTTAAAAGGCCTATTAGGCATTTATTCAATATTTATTGAATATTTAAAAAAGTTTATTAGGTCTTATTCTAAATTTATTTAAGATTTTAAAATGTCCATTGGGAATTTATTGAATATTTTTAAAAAATTCATTAAGTATTTATTCGAGATTTATTGAAAATTTTAACAATTTTTATAATATAATAAGACCATATAATTAGCAAAGCCAGCTTGAGTCCAAATTTAATTAGAAGTAGAATTAAAGTATAATTAGTAAACCATGAAAATCTGAATTTAATTAGAATTTGAATTAAAACCTAGAAGTTAATTAAAGTCATTAATATATATTATTTGAATTGGAATAGTTGACTCCTAAGTTTAGGGTGAGCTTTAAACTTCTAAGAAAGGTCTAATAAGTATTTATTTGAGATTTATTGATAATTTTAATAATTTTTATAATACAATAAAATAATAAGATAATAAGATACCCTACAATCTATTAAATCAAAAAGTGTACATTAGTTTCTCTTCATCTTTACTTAGCATGAGAGAGAGAGAGAGAGAGAGAGAGAGAGAGAGAGAGAGAGAGAGACTTTACTACTTAAAGCAGGTGTTCTTTTGTTCCTTGCTGACCAACCAAAGGAACGGAAATGACCACTAAAATATAAGTTATCGGCAACATACATGTTAAAAGAAAAAGAAACTAAAAAAGGAAAAGGGTGAAAGCTAGATTCTGTTTATTTTGCCCTGAGAGCTCTCCTTGACTACTGAAAAATCAAAGAACAAAATCAGCTCCAAAGTTGATGGTAGATTTTCTGCATCTTGACGCTTGTTTTGTCGACCCAAGGGGGAGATTTTCTATAAATAAGGTCACAAACTAGTAAAACTTTTCTAATTAAAGATATGGTTGTTTTTCTTTATTAATCAAGTCTACTACCTTTCAAAAGCTTCTAATTAAGGATATGACCTTTGTGATTTTACAAATCAAGGATATTTTACCTTTTCAAAGCTTCTAAAAAAAATATGACTAGACACATCTACTTAATCCTTCTTTAGTAAAATCACAAAAATTATATCCTTAATTAGAAACATTTCAAAAATGGTAATCTTGATTAGTAAGGAAAAAAGATCATATCCTTAATAAAAAAAGTTTTGAAAGGCTTTGGCCTTATTTGTACAAACACCCAAGGAGGGTTGCTTAGTGGGCAAGGGGCCGGATTTACTCCCCATCTTGTTAATTAAGATTTCATTCCTTGAGGAGGCTAATGAGGAGATAATTCTTCATGAATTCCCTAATCTTGGTGTAGATGGTTTACCTTTGATAGGACCCGGGAGGAATTAGTCTCAAGGTATACGTAAACTGATCTAAAGTCACCTAACCGCTAAAAAAAAAAAAAGAAGCTTGTCTTGTCATATTATTTCACTTCAAAGATATTTCACTAGTAAGGTCTTAATTAATGTGAATTTGACAAGCATAAAATTATCTTGTTGCTTTGTTTTCTTATGAATCTTAAGTGAGTTTTAATGGAGGGAAATCTCCTATTTAACTATTTAGTGCTAGTGAACAGAACTTGATG